ACAAAGTTGTATCCAAGTATTTGTCTTCAATTTCTCTGATCCTTTCTTCCATTGTTTCACACTTGCTACTCAAACTTTCTATGACACTGTCCGTTTCTGAAATCTTGTTGTTTGTCTTTTGGATTTCTAATTGCTGTTTTGATATGATTTCTAGCTGTGTGTTTATTTTGACATTTTGTTCCTGTATTATTTTCCTGAGTTCTTCCATCATTTTGTCTGTCTTTTCCATGACTGTATCTGACATGATTTTGTCTAGTTTTTCCTTATCTTTGTCTGCTTTTTCAGTCGTCTTTTGGATAGCCCTGAATATTAAAGTTTTGAATTCCCTATCAGGTAGTTCCAGTGCCTTTTCTTCTACCAGAAGGTCATCTGATATTTTATTTTGGACCCCTACTTGAATCATCTTGTCCTTTTTTTAATATGTTTTGATATTGTCCGCTGTCTTCAGGACATTTAGTCATTATTTTTTCCATTTATTGGTTGTAGATTTATTTGTTTCATACTGATTTTTTGTTTAATTTTGATTTAATTTGTTTAATTTGATTATGTCTGGGCAGGTAGGCTGGGCGTTCTTTGTTGTTTGCTCATCTGTGGGCATGATATTTCTCAGCACTTTGTCCAATGGGCAGTGCCAGTCACTCAGCTATCATCCAGCAGAGGGGGAGAGGTAGGGATGGGTCTTTTGTGGCATGTACTGGGACCAACAGGGTGGGCTCAGGGGGCAGTGCTGGGCAGTCTCCAGTGGTCCACACCTGTGCTGCTTGGGGGTGTGGTCCCCAGCATGAGGTGCAGATAGGCAGGAAGAATGGGAGGATAATTAGGTGTGGTTAAGAAGAGAAAGAAACATAAGCCAAGAAACCGTGGCCTGCCGGAAAGTGTCAGAGGCCGCACAGGGAGAAGGGTGGTGAGTGGGAAAATGTGTATCCCTGGTTAATGGGTGCTCTGTCTCCTGCTGGGAGCCCCATGAAGCTGCATTCCTATACTCCTTGTCTGCCATTCTTGTTGGCTAAGGGGTCTAAGATGGCAGATCCATGCTGTATTAGCTGATGGGGACCTCCACTCAGTAGCTCTCCTCGTTCTGTGTTCTCTGTCAGTTTTTTATTCCATTCAGTGCTTGGATGAGTTCTTTATCCCTTCATTTGATGCTTAGGCTTCCAGGATTGAAGTCTGTATCTGTTTTACTTAGTTTTTTGGGTCTTTGCTGTGGAGGGATGGCATGGTGCTTCTGTCTATACTGCCATGTTGGCTCCACCTCCTTTTTATAAACATTTTTATTGAGGTATAACATTCAGGGAGAAATGTGCATAAATGATAAGTATACAGCTTGATGAATTTTCATAAAGTTAATATGCTCAGAAAATTAGCACCCAGATTAAGAAACAGAACATTACCAGTACATCAACAGATCAGCTCTGATCCATTTCCAGGCAGTAACTTCCATTCATAAAGATAACCACTATCCTGAATGCTTCCACTGCAAAATGTTTGCCTGTAACCATATCAGTACCAGTTGCTGTCAAGTTGATTCTGACTCATGGAGACCCCATGTGTGTCAGAGTAGAACTGTGCTCCATAGTGTTTTCAGTGGCTGTCTTTTTGAAAGTAGATTGGCAGACTTTTCTTCCCAGGTGCCTCTGGCTGGACTCCAACTTCTAACCTTTTGGTTAGCAGTCGATTGTGTTAACTGTAATCTTACAGGGGATTGATTGTTCAAAGGTAGAGTTCTCAAGTCCCATGTGGGAGACCTGGGCTCAATTCCCAGTCAATGCACCTCCTGTACAGCCACCACTCATCTGTCAGTGGAAGCTTGCATGTTGCTTTGATGCTGAATAGTTTTTAGGACAGCTTTCAGACTAAGATGGGCTAGGAAAGAAAGGTCTGGAATCTACTTATGAAAATCAGTCATTGGAAACCCTATGAATCACAATGGTCTGATCCCCACCTAATCATGGGAATGGTGCAGGACTCAGTGGTGTTTTGTTCTGTTGTGCATTGGGTCACCATGAGTCAGGTAACAACAACAGTGATAGCCTCAAGTCATAAAGTATATACTCTTGAAAGTTTAGCTTTTTATGCAAGGTTATACTTGTGATATGTATCCATATTGTGCTTGTAGTTTTGTTTTTGTTGTTTTTTTTGATGTAATGTTGTTGTTGTTAGGTGACATTGAGTCATTTCTGACTCATAGTGACCCTATGTACAACAGAATAAAACACTGCCCCATCCTGAGCCATCCTGATAGTCATTGCTATGTTTGAGTCTATTGTTGCAGCCACTGTGTCAGTCCATCTCATTGAGGGTCTTCCTCTTTTTTGCCGACCCTGTAGTTTACCAAGCATGATGTCCTTCTCCAGGGACTGATCCCTACTGATAACATGACCAAAGTATGTGAGACGAAGTCTCACCATCCTTGCTCCTAATGAGCATTCTGATTGTACTTCTTCCAAGACAGATTTGTTCATTCTTTTGACAGTCCATGGTATATTCAATATTCTTCGCCAACACCACAATTCAAAGGTGCCAACTTTTCTTCGGTTTTCCTTACTCATTGTCCAGCTTTTGCATGCATATGAGGCGATTGAAAACACCATAGCTTGGGTCAGGCACATCTTTGTCTTCAAGGTGACATTTTTGCTTTGTGGCTCACAAAGTGTTGTGCCTTGAGCTACAGCAGCATCATTACCTGAATGTATCAGCTATTGTACTTGCATAGTAAATGCAAACATAAAGGCGACATTCTCTGCAATCTAAGCACATTATTTCCTTTATTTAATTTCTACGAATATTATTGATGTTCTAGTCACTTCTAGGCACAGATGCTAGTCACTTCCCTATGCCTGTATTATGCAATAATTAAAAAAAGCCAGTGCTCTCTGCCCTATGGAGCATATGATCCCATAGAATACATCAAGTATTGGAAAAAAGACATATATATATGAAAAATAATTACATATAGGCAATATAAGTACTAGTACATGAAATAAAAAAAAAAGATTCTATGTGAACCTTGCAGATGGGTTAAGGAAGTCTACTAGATGAAAAATTTGATTAGCATCCTGAAGAAAGAATAGAAGTATTTTCAGGAGTTCAAGAAAGACATTTCACAGACAGAAAACTGCATATGCATAGGCTAAGAGAAGTAAATCAGAAAGGCATGTGCCAAAGATATACAAGTAGTTCAGTGTAGCTAATTACAATGTGAAGATAGTGGAAAATCAACCTGGAAAGGAAGGCAGTCACTAAATCCCTAGATCTGAGAAAGGAGTTTAGAGAGCATCTTCATCCCAGAAATTTTAATACCAAAAACAAGTAAAATCATTGTTGTCTACGTAATTCCAACTCATGAAGACCCCATGTATAACAGAATAGAACTGCTCCATGTAGTTTTCTTGGCTATAATCCTTATAGAAGCAGATTGCCAGGTCTTTCTTCTGTGGTGCCTCTGGGTAGGCTCAAACCACCAACTTTTCAGTTAGTAGTCGAGCATTTAACCGTATGAGCCATCCGGGGAGCCATAACACCTTTAATAGACTGAGCCAAATGGCTGTCTGTTTTTCCTTGGACAAAATTGATTGATTGTACTTTCACCTAATTATACAGACTGATTGTTCACGTTTTTATGTGTGACTTCTTCTTTTCCTTCAAAGCCTATTTGAAAATAAAAGAAATAAGAAAATAGAGATATGATTTATTATCTTAATTCCAGTAGTTAAGATCCTTAGAAGCCCCCAGAAAGTCATCCTTGCTAGTAGGTAGAAGAATTGAGGAATATCTTCAGGATAGCCTTGTCTTCTACTCTGTGGCAAGTGGGAAATAGATCTTGATAAGGAAATTACAGGTAATGATAAAAGAAAAAGAAAACGGTAGTTCATTACCAGAATCTCCTGGTATTGAAATAGGGAGTAAACAGGAACGTTTATTAAGTTAATATTTTCTCAAGAAGTTATGTTACCATGAAAGTCTCAAGTCTTAGAACTCCATATTCAATCTTTTGAAACATTTCTTTCCGGTCACTCCTTTCTTCCTTCCATCTTTATTGCAGACTACAAGGACTATGAGTATAAAAGTTCCCATCTTCTTTGCCCATCATTTGGAGAGAAGCAAGTTCTGATTCCACTTAGATGAAAGGAAATTTCTTCCTAAATAGTTTTCCCTTAAAAATATGTTTATATGTGGCTGGGTCCTTGGTACTATTAGGTATACCTCAAGGAGAAACAGATTTAATGGATTTCAGTGGACTTGCCAGAAAAACTTATTACCAATGAGACTTAACAATATCATTTCTATTGGAAAATATGTTCAAAATTTCTGTCTTCAAGCAAACTCAAAGGGTTCATACATAAAACAATATCTAATCTCACATCAATCACTAAAATCAGCGATGATTGCTGAGTAGCCATGATTATGGGCAGAATGAAGGATATTGCATCTTTACTGACTCTGAATTTTCCCAAGTAGTAATTTATTTTAAATAAAAAATCAGGCATTAGTTCAGGTTTTGTTTTATAATTTATTATTATTAACTTTAATTTGTGGTAAGCAAAATATTCTAAATTTAAGGATAATACTAATTACATTTTTTAATGTAATATTATAATTTCTTATTTATAGTTATTTTTCATATTTTAAAAGATACTCTTCAAAGGCTAAAGAGAAAGCAGGGGCATGAGAGAACTCTCTGTGTTTTAAAATAACTTGTATAGGTTTGAACATCCTATGAAAGGAAATACATATAAATGCTAAGATTGCCACTGCCGTCAAGTCGATTCAGACTAATAGCAGCCATATGGAACAGAGTAGAACTGCCCCATAGAGTTTCTGAGCAGCAGCTGGTGGATTCAAACTGCTGACCTTCTGGTTAGCAGCCATAGCTCTTAACTACAGCACCACAAGGGCTAAGATTAGGGAAGAGCAAAGCAAAACTAAGTATTCCTTCAAGGTAAGCAAAATTTTACCATTAAAGAACAAATGAAATGCTAACTTCCCATTTCTCTGCACAGATGATCTGTGTGTCATGAAATGTCAAAGGTGTGGCGGTCTCTTACTATTATTTCTACCAGATGGCCAATATGCACCCAGAGCCTGGTACCTGGAAGGAGTTCCTGGATAAATTCATGGCTGGGAAGGGTAGGTCCAACTCTTCCTTTAATCATGGAGTTCCATAACGAAAGTTTCTTTTCACAAAGAGATATAAATGTCAAATATAAATTGCGTGTTTATTATAAACCTAGTATCATATGTGCCCAGCACTTTAAGAATATATTATAAAGAATATAGAAGCAGAACACATTGTCTCTTCACTTAAAGGAGTAAACTTTTGGGGGTATGTGACATATAGATTTCTGAGTCCATAGTTTCATATTTTATTAGTGCTTAATTATTACTGCCAGTTTTTTAAGTGCTTTCCTCTTTTGGCATTTATGCCATTATACTGTTTACATTTCATACATATTCCTTGGACTATCTTTCCTCTACTATTTCTTTATTTTTTCAATGAACTGTGAAAATTTTTGAGTCAGGGTTTTTATTTAAGGTTCTATTATTCTACATGTGTATTTTCTTTTTCAAAGAAACATATTCATATCTAACATAGTAACTGTATTTTTTTTTTTTTTATTGTACTTCAGGTGAAGGCTTACAGAGCAAATAGTTTCTCATGAAACAGTAGTACCCATATTGTTTTATGACATTGGCCAACAACCCCACAACATGTCAACCCTCTCCCTTCTTGAACTTATCTTTTTGGTGAAAATACACATAGCCAAAGATACACCATTTCAAAAATTTCTACATGCACAGTTCAGTGACATCGACTACGATCTTACAATTGTGCTGTTATTCTCACTTTAGATGAAGGCTTACAGAACAAAATAGTTTCTTATTAAACAGTTAGTACACATGTTGCCTTATGACAATGGTTAACAACCTCACAACACATCAACACTATCCTTACTCAACCTTGGGTTCCCTATCACCAGC